AAAGAAAAAGAAGATAGTCGGAAGAGGAGGAGGAGGAGAGAAGAGGAAGGAGAAGAAGATGAGGGGGAGGCGGGGGAGGAGAGAAGAAGAAGAAGGGATCAGTTTTCTTTTTTTTTTTCTTACCTGTCGTTTATCTCACACCTATCGATGACGAATGGAACAAAAAAAAAAGAAAAAGAAGATAGTCGGAAGAGGACGAGGAGGAGAGAGGAAGAAGAAGAAGAAGAAGAAGAAGAAGAAGAAGATGATGATGATGATGATGATGATGATGATGATGAGAGGGGGACGGGCGGCTCCACGGTGACGGGTGACGGGCGGCTCCACGGCGCTGGCGACTCCAAGACGCTGGCGACGGGCGACGGGCGGGTCCACGGCGACGGGGAAGTGAAGCTCCCAGGCGATGGCGACGGGCGGCTGAACCACGAACTGCGCTGGCGGGGGAAGACCAAGGCCCCGTTTGGACAGCCGATGCAGGCCGCGGCAGCCAGTCGGCTGTTCAAACGGGTCGTCGTTTTCCCTCCAAACATCAAACGGCCCTCTGGCCGTCGATCATGGATGATCGACGGCCGGAGGGCCGTCACAATTTTCAAAAAAAAAAAGCTGGCCTCACGGGCCCGACTCGCCTTTTTTCAGGCCTGGTCGGACCCGGTAGGCCCTGGGGACCCCAGCTGACGGCGATTCGGGGTCTGAACCCCCCCCCCGACAAGGTGTGCTGGGGGTGCCCGGCCCCCAACCGGGCCGCCCGGGACCTCCCCCGGGCAGGCGCTGGTCGACCGGGCGGCCCGGATACGTACTCAGAAAAACAGATGATTTCCAGGGGGTAGGCCTTAGCATCTGCATGGGGCAAGGACTCCATGTTTGATTAAATGTTCTAGGTGTGTCCCTTGTGGCTACCGGTGAGATATCATTGTCCACCTTTCTTTTTCCTGTATTTCCTGCTTTTGCTCCTCTTTTATGTTGTTCCTCTCCCAAGAGTGCTGTCTGGCGAAGGGCTTAAAAGTTAAAACTCAAAAGCCCGACTGCTCGTGAAACCTTTCACGGTCTCACATATTCCCAGCGCTGTTCGTGAGAAAACAATCCATATCTGGCCGCTCAGGCAAAGCTAAATCCTTAAACCACCAGTACCTTTCCCATGTATTGGCCATGGGAAAAAATATAGCGGACGAGTTTTGAGTCTTTTGACTCAGTTGAATTTGGGCGCTCCAGTAGTGGCCCGTTCATCCTCCGAAAGTTGCGGCTCCAAAAGGCGCGGGGGCGACTTTCAGAGGTATCATTTCGGATTCTTCAGAGGCCGGGTGCTACCAGACCAAAATGGCTGGTGGCGTCAGCCAAAAGGGAAAAAAGAAAGTCGCACTGCTGCTCCTAAGCTTGGCGCACAGTTCTTTTCCGCCTCGGCAAAAAGAGGCTCAGAGGTAGTGGAGGTGAGAATATTGCAGTCCCCCATTATTCCCCAAAGTGCCCCTCTTGTGGACGCCTCTCAAACTGGAAAGAAGGGCAAGGCAAATATCGAATTTCCCCCAGCAGCCCTCTGCAGATGACACAGAGGTTTGGCATCACGGACGCCCAATTCCACCCACTCCCTACCACTGATTCAAAGGGAAGATTCAGGTTTCAATGGGGTCCCACCATGGTAAACCGCCTAAGATTCGGTTTTGCAAACTCGCCATCAGTTCTTGCAGTCTGCCCTTGACATCACCATGCATCCTGGCGAGACTGTCGGGGTTCAACCTTCGGATGAGTTGGTGAAAGTCCGACGAAACAGTCCGCAACACTCGGGCCTTTTTTTGTGGAGTTGTGTATAGCGAGTATGACAACATAGAAAAACAAACAAACAAACAAACAATCATATCATCTCTCACGTATTTCCTTCCTCTCGTCCGGAAGTGTTGACGAAGTGCAGAACCTTTAGGATGTGCCAAATAGTTAGTGCCTGCGGTGTGCGAGATGCCTGTGTCTCTGTGTTCCCTGGTCGTGACGGACATTACTCCTTGTGGGCCCCTGACACTTGACAGCGGCAAAGACCCTACGGTCTTCAGATTTTTCCAAATGATGTGAGTAGATCATTTAAAAAAAAAAAAAAAAAAAAAAAAGATCGTAGTTTGCTTTGATACTGGCACCTTGCCTGGAGTTGGAACAGGCATATGGTGTTAAACTTTTTTTTTTTTCTTTTTCTGTGCGTGTGCTGCAGGTTGCGCTGCTTCTCACTGTATTGGATTCCCTCCCCCATCTGCCTCGCTGCTGTTTGTCACCTTGTCCTGATGCTTGCCTTGTCATTTGGCTGCACCCCCCCCCTCCGCGCCCCTCCGCTGCTCTCGTCCACATGTGCCTTGTGGCTGCCTTCCATCAGCTTGATCCTGCCTAGGCCTTGCTGTCGGTCTTGTTACCTTGCTGCTCATTGTTCTCCTTGCCCTCATGCCTCCCTGCCTTCTCTTTGCTGTTTGGCTGGCGGCCTTCCTGTGTTGCCTTGCTTGTCTTGTTTCCTTGCCGTTTGCCTCACTATTTAACTGGCCCCCCTGCCCTTCTCCCCTCCCCTGCCCTGGTTGGAGGGTTCCATCTATTAGTGGGGAGCAGCACTTGCTGGAAATGGGGTCCGGCATCTCAATAGTGTACAAAGTGCAGTACACAAAATGGAGTTGTTGCCGAAGCACATGTCACCACTATCACTGTGAAGACCAAGGCCCCGCCTTTGTATATGTCTGCCCAGACTGTGCCCGTTTCCTCTTCTGCCTGCATAACTGGCCGGTACTCGAGATGGGAGGTCAGGAAACTGCCCCCTCCCCTCCCCTGTGCTTGGCCTTGTTGCCCACCTTGCTGCTGCTTACCGTGTGACCTCACTCCTTGTCACGCTTTGCTGCCTCACGTTCTTGCAGATCCCTATGCCTTTATTCTCATCGAGCTGCCCACCTTTTTGCCTGCCTGCCTCCTAATTTTTGACATGTTTCCCTACTGCTCATATTGATGTGCCGCTCATGGTGTCCAGGTTGTTATAGAGGCTGGCTACTAGAGATATGACAGGCCTGCCACCACCTGACCATTTGATCGTCCCGAAGTATTGCCTAACCGGTGCCCTATGAGACACCCTCCCACCCTTACTTGTCATCACGATCCCCGGCGCATCCCTACTCCCAAGGTCCTACCCGAGTATACCCAGGATCATCACCCACTGGCATTCTAGTGATCTTTTGACCGGACAGCAGTTACATTGTGCCTTGTTGCAACTTGTGTTGTGGCTTTGCTGCTTTACTTGTTTTTCTTCTGCGTTGCCCACTTGCCCCTCCCTGTCCCTTGCGTGCCTTTTTTCTTTTCTTTTCTTTTCTTCCCCTTTTTTTAACAAAACAACCCGATCGCCCGCTAGGGGTGCTGGTAGGAGCAGACACCACTAGCATCATCGGCGAGAGGCTCCATCTATTGGTGGGGACCAGCACCTGCTGGAAATCGGGCGTCCAGCGTCCCTGTATAATACAATGTGAGAAACAAAGATAGTGTAAGCATGGTTTGTGGTTTGTCAGAAAGTATCCACGAGGGGCTGGCCAGTGAGTGGCCCCAGCCCTTTATCAGATCTTTTGTAATGAAGTACACAGTAAACTATCGCTTATGATGTTGATTACCTGACCTGTTGACAGTCACTTAACTGTTTATCTACTATCTATCCGCTCGTTGCCATATGCGGCTGTGTCTGAGTCTGTTGAAGGTGCCCCTACGTGTGTTTCTTGCCACATATCGTGGTGTGCTATATAAGATGTGGTTGAGGGTGTTCCTAACTGTGTTTGCTATGGAACATGCATGTATTCCTGCACCCTGCTGAGTCCCATAGTAGGTTGTGTTGACTGTAATATATTGTATCAGCCGCCTTAAACCCTAAACCCTACTCTACAAAAGCTTTGGCAATAATTCTTGTGTGACACCCTATACACCAACTCTGTTGTGATACCTTATGCTCCAATGCTGTTGCAGTGGAGCATTGTCAACCTGTCACCCCTATATCAAGTTATGTTGTCATTCCTTACATATCAGTACCCTTAAATCCCACCCTACAGTCATCCGGTTCATCGTCGCTTTTGTGGATCAATCTGCTCCTCCTTGCTGCACGCTTGCCTGCCTGCCCCTGTGCCCTGTTGCTGCTTGCCTTGGTGCTTGGTGTTTTGGCCACTTTCGTGTTCTCGCTACTACCCGCATGTCATCTAGCATGTATTGAATGAATAACGACTAGAGGATAAAATAGTTGGAAAATGACAATAATTGACAAAAGTAGTGTAAAAGCAGATGATGATGTTAATGATAATGTTGATTAGGGTTGATTCGTCTTCCCCTCTCCTCCCCACCTCTTTCCACATCAGGGGTTGAAGCAGATTACAGATCAACACATCATGATGTTTCAGTGATGTTTCACCCATCTCATCAGGGGTTGAAGCAGATTACACATCATGAAGGGATTCTGCAGGCTTCCCTGGGTTCAGCCTCTTGATGAGATGGGTGAAACATCACTGAAACAGTTTGCCACAATCTCCTTGACTTTCCTTTCCACTGAGGTTCTGTTTCCTTGAGTGGTTTTGTTATAATGCTATGTTGGACCTTGCTTCACACCGTCAGTCCCTCCGAGCGTCAGTTTTCAGATGCGCTTCGTTGTCCAACCGAAAGAAAAGAAACTATCCGCGGGTCCGGTCCTTGGCCTCTACAACACCCTAAAATAAAAAGAAAAGAAACTGTCGCGATCGCAAGCTTGCCAGGCTCTGCCAACCTTTTTCCCACCAGTACCTGCCGTCCTGCGCGTAGGGAAAAAGTAGCTGGGAAAGGAACTTGTGATTAAGGGGCTCACCACACAACTCTCGAAAAAGGGATATTCGACAGTTTCTCCTCGCCACAAAACCTGTCGAAATCCAAGACGGGAGAAGACTTCGCGACTTGTCAGAGAAAAAGTTTTGACACCACCTCCTTTCAGACGATGCCAGGCTGCAAATTCCACATTTTCAACAGTTCCCCGCCGAGCTATCGAGTTCTCCTCCGAATTTCGTGAGTGGGCCTGAGGTTGCGACGGACAAATGTTTGTCCTATCCTCCTCAGCCGGGGGCGTCTCTTTTGGACTTGCATTCGTGAGTCCACCCCTTCAACAGTGCTCTGTGGCGAAGGGGTGGGGGAACTGTCGAAAGGGCAGCTCAGCTGTCAAATTTCTCCTGACAGCCATTATTGAAATTTTGGGGCTTTTGACAGTGGTGTGGCAAGGCCCTTAAACCACCACCAGTGCTTGCTCCACGGCCCGACTTGTGAAAGGAAACTTGTTCCGGTGCCATACTTGGGGTTTCAAAGCTTGAACCCCCCGTACTTGGTCCAGTATAAAGCCGCAGGGGTGGGGGGGGTCTTTTTTCCCTTTTCTTTTCTTTTCTTTTCTTTTCTTCTCTCTCTCTCTCTCTCTCTCTCTCTCTCTCTCTCTCTCTCTCTCTCTCTCTCTCTCTCTCTCTCTTTTGCAAAGGGCAACAGCTTTGAGATATGATCATTGAACTGCCCCGGCCCTAGGTAATTCAGGATTGTAGTATTTTAGTAATTTCACTATTTTTTTTTTCAATAAAACATGATCATATATTTCGGATCAGGAACAGATGGTCACAGTCTACCGGGAGAATGAAAACCCTAACAGCATTACCCGGTTTAGCTTACAGGGATCGTAGCCCTGCGGGGACCAACCCCCGCAGGGCAGCGGAACGTATCTACTCCCTTGCTTCCAGTGGCTTTGGTTGTGAGGGTCTATGGATGCTGAATGCTTCGCTGTCAGAAAAGGAACGAGAATAGAGCCGTGGGCAGTGGCCCAACACGCGACAGACAATAAAGACAACAAAGGAACCAGAATCGAGCCGTCTCGACTACCCTGAATCGAACTGGACCGAACCGAACCGCACCGCACCGAACCGAACTAAGCTGCCCCTACCTAAGACAGGGCAGTGAAACATATTTTACTCATTTGCTTCTGGTGAAGTTCGAACTTTTTTTTTTTTTTTTTTTTTTTTTTTTTTTTTTTTTTTTTTTCAACAGTTGAGAGGTTTACCAACTGAGCTACCCGTAGGCCAGTTGGTGGGTGGGGGTTTCTCAGCAGCCTCTCCATGAAAAATTCATCAACAGTGGCTCAGCTTGAAAAAGAGTAGAAAGCTGCTCGGGGGCCAAGTCCCACTAGCAGCGTTGAGCTACCTCAACCCCTGAATCTGGACGCTTTTGCCGAGATGTGCATAAATGGTGTTGAGTTTCCTGAACTGCACCTCTCCACAAACACGTCCAGATTCAGGCGTTGAGGTAACTGAACGCTGCTACCGGTAGTGGGACTTGGCCGCCGGGGAGTCCTCTGTATTCCATTCCACTGTGTTTCCGTCGTCGCTGGACCGTGGGCGAGGCCCGGTTGCAAAAAGAGGGTTGGATTAAGCGCCTGAATCTGGACGTGCTTGTGGATAGGTGCAAGAAACCTCGGTCGATCCACTTTTCTGCTGCCAACAGCACATCCAGATTCCGGCCCATAGTCCAACCCTCTTGTCTGGTCGGACCTCGCCCCGGTTGGTTCCGCGATCTTTACCTCGTAAATATATATAAATATATCATTATATGAACATATGATATAATGGCTATAACTTCCGCGTGTTATTGTGAGGCGTGGAACATGGCTTGTTCCACCATTTGTTCCGCCGTTTGTTCCGCCGTGTGTTATTGCGCCGTTCATGTCCGTAAGTCGAAAGCAGCGATTTTTTGGAGCTCATTCCTTTTCTTTTTTTTTCGCTAGAGTACTGTGGAATGGTGGGAACGTCGGCCATTGCGTGTAGAGGTAATCAGCTGTTGACACGTGTCGTGGCAGTAGCTGTGTCTAAGGCGAGGGATCGATCCCCGTTGCTTTCGCGGAGTTTGAGTTTGCAGGCCTGTCATCTTGGAGGAGGAGGAGGAGGAGGAGGAGGTCGTGGAGCCAAGAGAGCAGGTGGGGGCAGGTGGGGGCAGGTGGAGGGTGGACTACCAGTCCATGCCAGCATGTCTTATTGGCTGTTGAAGACGGAGCCTCACGAATGGTCCTGGAGCGACCAGTCGGCAGCGGGCGGTCGGTCGACCTGGGACGGCGTCCGCAACGCTCAAGCTCAGAAGAACATGAAGCAGATGGCGGTCGGCGACCTCTGCTTCTTCTACCACACCGGCAAGGAGCGCGCCGTCGTCGGGATCGCTGCCGTGTCCAAAACGTGGTATCCCGACCCGACGGACGAGTCCCGACGCTCTGGAATGGTGCAGATTGAGGAGGTGATGCCGTTCCAACACGTGGTCACTTTGGCGCAGATCAAGGGATTGGATGACGTGGCGGATTTTCAGCTGGTCAGACAGCCGCGACTGTCAGTGGTGCCGGTCCCGGCCGACGTCTGGAAGAAGATCTGCGACCTTGGGGGGGTGGAACACGTGGAAGCGCCATGGAAATCGTCAGCGAAGCCGTCGGTCAACGACGACGGTCAAACCCAATCTTAACGGGGTCAACCCCCGGGTTAGCAGCGCAGCGCAGGTCAGCCATCTCGATTTTGTAATCAGATCAGGCCTCAAAAGAAAGTAAGCAAAGCGGGGGGGGGGGGGGGGGGGGGGGGGGGGGGGGGGGGGGGGGGGGGGGGAGGGTAGCGATGGGGTGGGTTTAGGGTCAATCAGGCCTCAAAAGAAGGTAAGCAAGCCATGACGAAACAGAGCGTAGGATAGTAATAGCAAAAAAAAGAGTAAAATAGGCTTTAAATAGCAAAATAGCAAGAGCAATAGCAATAGCAATAGCAAGAACAATAGCTTTTCGTTCTTATGGGATAGGGTTTAGGAGAACGACTGTGGGAACAGGCAGGAAGAAAGATGTAATATAATGTGCAATACGTGGTCTGTTGTGTGTTGTAGAAGGGGAGCGGGGGGGAGGGAAGGGAGGAGGAGGTGGGAGTCCTGGAAAATCAGGTGATGGAGTGTTGGGAGAGGGTTGACCAGGTGCCGCGGGCGCGTTTGTCGCCATCCGCTGAATAAAAGAAAGCACGTCCGAAAGAAAAATAATAATAAAAAAGAAGGAACGTTGGCTAGATGGATGGAGGCAGCTTTTGTAGATTCCATGATTGTACAGATGCACGCGATACAATGAGACGATGGGGCAACTTTCGACGGTGTGTGTGTCAAAAAGAGAGAGAGAGAGAGAGAGAGAGAGAGAGAGAGAGAGAGAGAGAGAGAGAGAGAGAGAGAGAGAGAGAGAGAGAAGAAAGCTCTTGTAGACTGAGTGGTCGCAGAGATGCCTTGTACGACGAAAATATCAGAAAGCTTTTGACGATTGGCGCAGGTCTGGCTTGTGTGTGTGTGTGTGTGTGTGTGTGAGAGAGAGAGAGAGAGAGAGAGAGAGAGAGAGAGAGAGAGAGAGAGAGATTCTCTTTCTCTTTTTCTGTCTACATGTGCACGTTGAAGAAGTGCGTTTAGGCAATTAGACCGAAGGTCATTTCTGATTTCTTAGATCCTCCTGAGTGTGGCTGGTGTAGTAATTCTGTGGCGCTCACGTTAAATGATGATGATGATGATGATGATGATGCTACTTCCGTACGACGGATTTTTCGAGGAGAATGTTCATGGAATGCTCATGTGAACTCTGTGTGTGTGTGTGTATGAAGATCCTGGTGCTGCCTATCCGGATTCCTTGGGGGAATGTTCATGTAATCTTCATGGTCTCTTCATGTTAACTCTGCCACCTGTGCTGGTGTAGAGAGCTGTGTATGTATGCAGCTTTTTTTTTTTCTTCTTTTCGACTTCGATTTACTGTATTAACGCTTTCTATGTGATCTAGTATACGTTGTATGCAACTTTTTTTTTTTTTTTGGGAGGGGGGGGGGAAGTATTGGAGGGGAAGGGATAAGAAAACGACAATAAGACAGCTGGAGTTTAACAAAAGGGAAAAGAGAATCCCTTCTACAACTCACAACCCATGTGGCTGAATGGTTCATCCTGGGGTGAGCTCCCACCAGTGAACAGGATTGGATTAAGCACCTGAATCTAGATGGGTTTTAAACAGTGATGCAGATCAATCGCGATCCATTTGCTGCACCTCTCCACAAACACGTCCTGATTCAGGCAGTCAAATCCAATCCCCTTTGCTAGTGGGACATCGCCCATGAGCAGACTGCTCGGGGTTCCAAACTCCTGTTGAGTCGGTAAAAGTCCGACGAAACAGTCTGGCACAGTGTTTTTATTTTATTATTATTATTTTTTTAATTTTAAAAGGGCGACGGCATTCAGATATCATGATTGGAAAAAAAAAAAAAAAAGAAGAAGAAGAAGAAGAGGATATCAGCATTGAACTGACCGGCGTTAGGGAATTTGAGAGTCTGAGTGCGCATCTGGATTCAAACTTGGGTCTGTATTTCAACAGCTCATGGGTGTGTACCAACTGCGCCAGGTCCGTTGGTGCTTTTTTATTTATTTATTTACTTATTTCTGCAATTATCTATAGTGAACATGGGCTGTTGATGAACAATAGATCACGAAATGGTCTTGTATCTTTTTTTTTTTTTTTTTTTTCCCCAAAAAAATGGCGACAGTCTTTAGATATCACACCTTTGAAGTGACCGGCTCTTACTCTGTTCATCTGATTGCATCTGGATCCCAACTTGAGTCTGCATTTCAACAGCTCGTGGCTGTACCAACTGAGCTACCAGTCTTCCCCCGAACATAACGCACCCCAATCTTGACTGTACCGGCCCGGAAAACTAACTTGTATACATTCACAATGAGGGTGCGCTATGTTCGAGGGAAGACGGTGGGCTCGATGGTCGGTCTTGTATCTATATTCTGTACCTATATGGTATTCTGTATAAGGAAGGATCTGTATAACTGCGGGCCTACTGGGTTGGAGTCCAAGCCCTAACGCGAGCAGTAGGTGGGTAGTGTGTGTGCATTAAATATCTGAATTTGGGCGGGTTTTTACACCTGGGTTAATCGGGGACCTGACATCACAAAAACACAAAAAGAAAAAAAAAGAAAAAACAAAAAAAAGGGAAGAAAAGGCTAGGTAGTTAACTCAACATTAACTACCAGGTAGGTTAGGGTTAGGGGAAGTCTCTGTGTGCAGTATATTTCTGAATCTGGGCGGATTTTTACGGTCGGGTTAACCGAAGACCTGACGTCACAAAAGCACAAAAAGGGGAGAGGGGGGGGGGGGGGGGGGGAGGGGAGCAGGGAGAGAAAGGAAAGAAAAGGGTATACTCAACATTAACTAGGTTAGGTTAGGGTTAGGGGCAAAGCCTCTCCCTTCGCTGATCTATTTCATTTATTACTATGATGTTCATTTTGAGGGCATATACTCGCACTAATACTAGTAAGACTGTTTTTTTCCACTTCCCTGTGGACGTAATTGCGGTCAAAATGCATCCTGACCAGGTCGGAAAAGCGATCATATACATCCGGGTAAGTGAGGTCGGGATGGCGGGAAGAGAGGCGGCGAGGGGGAGGGAGGGGAGAGACGGCGAGGGGAACGAATGAGGCAGGGAGAGGGGAGAGGGG